TTGTGTTTTGTTGTTTGGGGGGGGGGGGGGGGCTATGTACAGAAATTTCTCCAGATTCTCAAAATCCTTTGATGATATTATGGATTGTAGATGATGATGAAATCTCATAAATTCTTTGCAATCGTGCATTGAGATCCATGGTTCTAAAAATATGGGACTATCTGCTCACACAGTTGATCACTAAGTGATAAACCTCATCGCATCCTTGCTTGTGAATAACTAAGCCTTTTGGGGGTGCGCCTTTTGTGGTGCTCACCTGTTTCCAATTAACCTGCTCACCTGTGGAATGTTCTAAACATGTGTGGGGTTTTTGTGGTTGAATTTGTTTGTAGCATTCTTCAACTTTCCCAGTATTTTGTTGCCCCATTCCATCTGTTTTGTAACGTGTGGCAGGCATCAAATTGGAAATGCGAGAATATTTGCAAAACGAAAACAATAATGTTCATCAGTTTGAATTGTAAACAAATTGTCTTTGTCAATTGAATATATTTTGAAAATGATTTGCAACTCATAGTATTGCATTTGTTTGTATATATTACACATTTAGTTTGTTGAACTAGCCATTTTGTAATTTTTTTTCCCCCACAACGGCAGGATACGTTTGTGATTGCTTCATAACATCACATTCATTCTTACGATTATTTTGTAGAGGTGTTGTGCGACAGCAGCACTGTGACATCGTGCGACAGCAGCACTATGTTAATTCTGACCTTTTTTGAATGGCAGCGAGTCCCTGCGGAACTCGACTGTTTAGATGTTCCTTTGAAAATGGCTGATGGAGATTTAAATGGCATTTCGGTCGCTCATACCTTGACTTTTGCACATAGAGTAGTCTGCATCTTGAGATAGGTTGAGAAATGTATTGAACATTTGCTGAGAGGCACCCCAAATAATGTGAATTCATTCTTGAAGCATAAACCCAAATCTACAATTAAATGCCTAATCCATTGTTATTGTTGAGAAGTGTAGTGCCTGCACTTGTTTGAATGTGGCTGTCAGAGTGAACGTGTGGTCCAACAGAGAAAAAAAAAATCAAATATTTCAATCTGAAAACAATATTGTGAATTTATATTTTTGACCTCAAACCGAAAGCTTGTAAATTGTGACCATGTCACGTGTGTGTGCATGTGTGTGTGCGTGTGTACTGCAAGCTGCAGTTGTCTTAGAGCGTTTCCAGGCTATAAACAAGGTGATGGATGTGTTGGTGCCACAGTGGGTTGACTGGACACAGTCTCCTGCGTCTTGATTAATTGATGTGAGATGCAGCAGTTTAAGCTCCCCATGGTCCTCGGTGTGCTCTCTGTCTGTCCATTCCTATTGAGTCTGCCAAATGTAACCACGGGGGGAAAGGATGCTTTAAGCTTTTGCAGGGGCACACTATTTCAGGGGCCAGACAGCAAACACGCTTAGCAAAACAGTCGGTAAACACTTGCATTTCATATTTATAAATTATGTAATTTGGTAGCGCAGCTTCTGTTGGGTGTATAAAAGAGGAATGTGTTTGCTAAAACGGTGCCATTAAACCACAAGGAACATGACTTTGAGCAAGTCCAAGAGCGTGGATCATGATTTGATCGGTATCGGTATGGATTTTTTCATCCATCCATCCATCCATTTTCTAATCCATTTGTCCTCACGAGGGTCACGGGTGTGCTGGAACCTTCTTTGGGGAGTTGGGTGAATACACGGGAAGAACATACAAACTCCACACAGGAAGGCCGGAGCCGGAATCGAACCCTGCAGTTTGTTTCTCAAAACAGGCAACGAGGCTACAAAAACCTGATGGAAAGGCGGAACAAGGTCCAAAAAGAAAGCAGTACATTGGTCCCCATTGCATTTGACAGCTTGTATTTGAAGCAACAAACAGACAAAAGTCAAGAGTAAAATAAATACTCCAGTGTTTGTGTTTCTCATATACTCATATACAATTTTTTTGACAAGATTGTTTGAGCTGACTCAGACCACAATTTGAAGGGAGAGCTTTGGTTTTCCACTGAGCAGAAACTTGTTTACAATATGTGACACTTTTCAAGCTTGACTGGAGTTGTTCACACCTTTGATTGGCTGGTCTGCAGCCAACCTGGTGAATACATCTAAGATACAGGGAATTAAAAAGACAAAGAGACTATTTTCTTCTAGGTTGCTGAGCCCAAATGAGCACAAAATGTGGAGTGAGAGAGGTTCTCTCCAGGTGGCCAATGGAGCAGCTACAATAAATATATGGATTTTTCTGTGTCTGCAAGTAGTCTGCTAATGCCAATATTAGAGTCTGACAGCTAGTCGAGCCTCGTCTCTACTCAAGCGCGCTGCATTTAAAGAGAATTCAAGGAGCCACTTTGATGGGCCGTGCCTGAAGTCACCTGTGACCACTCCCACAGCCCTGCCTCTCACCGATCTGTGGCCTGCACTTACTTGCAAAATGACCAACATTGGGTCGAACCGCCTCTGCATAGTTACGCCATGTGCTGCGCAGGATTTACCCAAGTCGCTAAAATATAGCACATGAAAATGGACGGACAACAGACATAATGTGTAAGTTTACAATGTTGTTTGTTGCTAGTATTTTTTTAAATGATCATTTCTTTCCGGGAATATACAGTATGTAGTATAAACAATAATTCTTTTGTTTTGACACAATGCTGGCAATGAACCCGGCTGTTTAAATGGCGCTATTACGAGCATGCACTGTCCCCGCTCCCCCTCCCACTGCATGTTCTCATCTGGTCCTGCAGGAGCCCCTCTCGCTTCCTCCTCCTCCTCTTCCTCCTCCTCCTCCTCCTCCGCTGCAGCCTCACTCCGACACAACCGGCATGTCTGCAAACCGGGAGGCTCGATCGTGTCCTTAATTTTTTTTAGACGCAACAACTAATACATTCCGTGTTACTGAAGAAGAAGAAGAAAAACTGGTTGTAGACCCGCAGCGCCTTTCCTCCCCCTTCCTGATTTGGGCTGAGAAAGACTCGGACGAGGATCCAAATCAAGGTAAAGGATGAAAACCACTGTTGGTGCACCGTGCGGGACAGGATGGAGACATTTTGGTGCTCTTGCCAAATTACGCCGCTCGCTCGCTGAAATCCTAATTGAAGTAGTACTTGTAAAAACGGGAAACGTATCGTTCGGCTGAATGGTGAGTTAATGAGGGTTCACGTGAGGGGAAATTGACGCTGCAGCAGACGATGCTGAAGAGGAGGCAAAGGAGGAAATGATTCGAAGAGGCTGCTGCAGATTAAAACGTGAGGAGTGCTGCAAGTTTTGTAATGCAGCATAGCACACCGCAAAGCTGTAAAATGCAGCCAAAGTGGCTTTGCGAAGTATTATGTGGAGAGAAATGTCGAATGATCCCACAGTGAGAGTTGCAAGGTCACTGGAACTTCAA